CAGAGAATTTCGATTGTTTATCAATATCATTATAGACATGTTATATCCAAATCACGTTTTATGCAAGCACCGACGAGGAAAAATTAAACATAATAATTTTGACATGTAAATATTTTATGTCATGTGTTGATTGGTCTTTTAATAATATTACAGTTTAATGGTTTAATGTTAATATATTATTACAGTTTAATGGTTTACAATAATATTACAGTTTAATGGTTTAATGGCCCCGGAACCCTGAACCCCTACCTGGGGCCCTTGGCGGCCCCCTAGCCCCAATCGTCAGTGCTCGCGCTAGGTTCGCAACCTGACTACTTCAATTCTCGTGGCTACGGCCCTGTTTGAACAAAAGCTTTGATTCTAATCGTGTACCTTTACTTACATTGAATGTTCGTAGTCGTACTCGCACTAAACGCTTAATGTATCCCCCCCCCCCACCACACTTTTGGCCAAGTTTACGTAAAGGAGTTTAGTTAAAAGATTAGCAGTTAAATTTAATAATTTAACATATTCGGATGAAATATATATTTTTTTTATGAAGTTTATCCTCGATTAAATTTTTACGAAGACAGTTTATTGCAAGTTTGTACCATAATTATATACCGTAGTGTTCTTTGTATAATTATGTTCCAACCTAGTGGAGGTTTATATCTGTTTTGGTTGAGAATTGAAAAAAAATATAATAAATTGTATAGTCGCTGAAGTGTTTTTTTATGTGAAGTGCCTAAAATGCTCGATGTGATCACATGTGTCCAAAGTCAAATCCAATTTCAAGCAAGTGTTGCTGAGACTTCTTCGAAGTTACTAAGAACTAGAGTTAGGTTGTATATGAGAATCATGAAGAAGGTAGTTCTGATAGTGACATTGATTTATTGTTTTATGTACCGTATACTGCAACAATAACATTCCGAGGCGAATTTAGGAAGTTTTAGATAAAAAGTATTTAGGCCCCATTAAAGTTTTTCATAGTTCTTACTAATGTAACTTTCATTTTAATTAAAGAGAGATTTGTCATTGAAGATTTTATAACAGGCCCTTAAAATTATTGCTATAGATCGACTACAATGTTATTTAATACATTTAAATCAAATTTAGATCGATCTTAATAACGTGACTTTAAATAGGCCTACATGCTAGCAACTAATTATAGAATATATTTAATATTATGGTGTAGCTAGCTCGGCATTTAATTATGGTGATTAATAGAAACAGTGAAAGATTAACATTTTCCAGTGTATATCATTTTAATTTCTCCAATTTCAAACAAATAACAGTTGATTTTCGTGTAGTGTTTGTATTTTAAATGAATATTATGTATCCACTGAATAAGCACCCCTCCTAACGTGAAAATTTCCTTAAGCGCCCCCTTTGAATAAACGCCCCCTCAATAATTCATTTAATTCTGGACTGTGGATGTCGGCATGATTTGAGGTGTGGAGTGGAATCACATTCTCCTTTAGTCAATATCAAAGTGAGGATATTTAGCCTATCTTGGACAGATGATAGCTCTCTGGACAGACAGTATATTTCCAACTTTCATCAGGCTTACTTTTTTCTATAGCCTAGTCCTACTGCTTTTCCGACAATTTGCACCTAACAACACATTCCCATCTGAGTTTTCAAGAAAACCTGCAATGATCATGCAATCCTGCTAATCTCAATCGGCATGGCCAGCTAACCACCACCACTAAATTTCATCTGCTATTCTGCTGTTATGTAATAATGTACTCACAACATTCTTGTCATGATAAGCCATGCTCTCTGGTGGACGATTATCTTTTCCGCCGCACCACCATTCGTAATTTGCGGTTTCCTGATTCAAAATGTGCCTCTTGAATTTAGTAAGTTGTCATAATAACCCCTCGATTTTCATCTATTTCCATAAGCGCCCACTCAATTTCCACTCTGTTTTGATAAGCGCCCCGTTCGAATAAGGGCCCCGTTTGAATAAGCACCCCTCAAAAAGTGCTAAAAATATTTTAAGCGCCCGGGCGCTTATTCGCGCGAGTACGGTACCCAATGATTCGAAATTACCCAGGATTCAGCAAAAATTGCCCAAAATTACCCAAGCTTCCTGAAAATGCATTAAAATTTGAAAAATACGTGTTTTTCGCATGTATAATTTTCCCTTTTAGTTCAATTTATAAACCAATTTTTATTGTAATTCTTTGTGTTAATTATTAAAATTAATATTCATGAGGTGATCAAGTTTTACTATGTAATGCATTAATTAGGCAAGATCAATGGCAACGCAAATCACAAATAAACAATTCTGAACCCATGTTTATAGCAATTAACAGTCAATTAACAATGTTATGCGCACTTCGTTGAGTTTTGATTACTTGATTGGACTGAAATATACTTTGTTACTTCTTAATTCTTCCTCTATGACAAAAATATTTAATTTTTCTTAGTAAAAATAAAATACCCAAGGATTTGAACGGAATACCCAAGAACCCAAGACCAAGTCAAAATACCCAAGATCTTGGGTAAATACCCAAGCAGTGGTCACGCGGAGAACGTAGCTTAAGAGTTGCAGAAAAAGAAAAACTAAAACCAGAATAGTTTTTACATAAATATTTTTTACAACGTTTGACAAAGTGTTCAGGATATCCGACTTTACATGCTTCAGGTTGTACAAACAATGCCAGCTGCAGTACCAAGTACTGACAGGAGGAAAAAGTGAATTCACGTCTTTAATCAGTATGCAATTGGCGGATCCTGTAATTCGAATTAGAGTGGGCCAAGAGGTCAACCACTAATGTAACATTAACCACTGTTGTAACAAAAATCAACCACTGTTGTAACATTAACCACTATTGTAATAATTCATTAACCACTATTCTAACAACGATTTAACCACTATTGTAACAACAAATGTAACAATATACAATATATAGTAGTCTCCGAGCCGAAACCTTATGTACGTTGTCATATTTTATGATTTATGATGGTTGTGGCATTTTTAAAATTTTATAATTTTTTATAGAGGTTAAAGGTCAGATTTAAAAAAAATCTGAACAAGCCCAAATTGGACAGGGGTAGTCCCTGTGACATTGTAAACACTTTTTCTGAAGGTCAAAGGTCATGAAAGGAAAATCTTTTTTAAAATTGATTGGCTTTTTGAAAATGTTGTGAATTTTGATATAAATGTTAAAGGTCAGATTAAAAAAAATGGTCTGAACAAGCCCAAATTGCATAGGGATGCCTGGATGGTCCTAATTAGGTTACTTAAAGGCAACGCCGGGGTATAAAAAGGGGCACTAATAATTTGATGGATGTTAATCCTCAGAGGTACTAAAATTTTTTGAGTAAATAAATGCCTAGTTATACTAAAACGATAAAAAATATTTTTTTATTTTATCGTTTTTTTCATTATTATTATTATTATTATTATTATTATTAGAAATTTGACTTGATTTATGAAAATATTTTTAATGCAAATAATTGCTTTTTTTAATTGTTGACTGTTATTTTCAAAATAAAAACAGGCCTTAATGCATCACCATGCTGCCTGGGTTTGGTTAAATCAAGTCTAAAAGTGTAAATTGAATGTCATCGGAATAAAGTTTTTGTTAAATATCTCCAAACTTCTATATGTCTGTTGGTCAGTCGGACAGTCCCTATTACGTTTAACATGCTATTTTCCCTATTTCTGTTAGTCATATTGGTTTAGTATTTAGCAGACAGTTTCTCATTGATTCAATTGGATGGTCATTCCATTGTTAGTCTGTCAATCAGTCGGTTAATTTTTGCAGCCTTATTTCATTAAATAATACTTTTTCGCCCCTTCATACTTCACTATCAGATGTGTATAAGAGAATATATATATATAATATAAGCAGCAGACATTTGGGAACCAAGCTGTTTACTGTTTTTCATTAACACTGACCTTTAAATATCCAAACTATATATTTACAATGTCTCAAACCATTTTAATAAATCTGATCTATATCGAAAATTATATTTTTTTTTAAATGCCACAACAATCATAAATGTGAAATTTTAATAGGACAATGCAAATAAGCTTTTGGCTTGAAGACTTCTATATATTGTACGTGGTTACAATAGTGGTTAATGAATTTTGTTACAACAGTGGTTAAATCATTGTTATAATAGTGGTTAATGAAATTGTTACAACAGTGGTTGATTTTTGTTACAATAGTGGTTAATGTTACATTAGTGGTTGATTTTTGTTACAACAGTGGTTAATGTTACATTAGTGGTTGATTGTTACATTAGTGGGTGATAAAGAAGGGACTTTCACAGACGGAGGGTTTAGATATAAGAAAATTTATGATTATGGCACCTCAATGTGCCTTATAAACGAGTGATTGATGTAGGCCTATGAATTAAGGATATGATTGTTAAATATATAGCTTTAATATGATGTGTTTTAAAGTGTATTGACAAGAGGAACTGACCAACATTCCATGTCTCGATGGCGCTACCCCTTATCCAAATCCTAAGTATTACATAAAAAATATGTTATTTGGAATAAAACAAGACATTTCTATTTCTGAAATTGAAAGTGAATGATGAGGACACACATATTTTACTCTCACAACTTTATTTGTAATCTATATTTCTGTACTGTATGAAGATGATTGTAGCTAAAAGCAGAATAAAAGCTAAATTGTGAAAAAAATAATGTCTTAGCCTATAGGATATTTGAAATGATGGTGAGCTATACTATATGCCTATAATATCGATCTATCATGTAGGCAAACACATAAACGTTATGATCATGTAACAATCTCAATATAACAGCAATTGTTGACATATTATAGCCAAATACTACATGCCTAATATTAGATGCCTCAAAAAGAGAGCATAGAGAATGTTTTGAAAAATTAGGAGTTGACCGAGTTATGGCAACATAACAACTGTAAATATTACGAAATAGTTGCAATTCTCTATGAAAATGTTATACTGTACACTGAATAAATCTAAAAATGCTTTAATATCATACATTGCATCAAACATATAAACACACATGCATACAAAAATTGCTAGCACCTACAAACCAAATCTATATACAATGATTGTAAACAAGACATTTATTTGCTTGTCATGGCAACATAAGTAAACAAAATATTACTTTACAAATAAAATTCTACAGGATTATAATAAATTATCATAATTATAATAAATTAAACAAGGTGAGAAAAGTTATTTTACCTACTGTATTATTATCATCTTATGTTATTCATATCTACTACATACCAAACTCTAGGGCTAGTTCAAGTTTTAAAATTGCATCACTAAATATGCTAACTATAGATACTATGCATACACATATAATATGTATAAAAATCATAGATAAAATGTATTATAAAAAAGTAAGTGTCTATGTAAGTGTGACTTTCAATTTATCAATAAATTATAGAAAATTAGTCTCAACAAGAATCTATTCATCATTTATTAACAAGTCATTTAATAAGTAATTTGAAGAAAACATGTTAATACTGTGCACATTGCGGTACATACTTTATGCAGTATTCATTTTTAATATTCAGCAAAACCTGTTTTAAAATGAACATACAAAATTATATGAAAACAAAAGTGATTGTGTTCAACTTTCCTAATGTTTTGTTTTGTTTTCAACTAACTGTATGGTTTTGCAACCACTTGTTGATCAATAGATATGCATACATCCAGGTTAATGACATTGTCTATTACCATAAGTTGAATATTTTGGGAATTGTTATAAGAAAGCAGGAAATGGGAAATATGCAATTGGTGTCTCTCACTTTTACTTGTGTATCACATTGTGGTTATACATATTCTTAGGCATACTCATAGGCAAGGAAAGATTAGGCCTGTGGAGATACAGCCACACCTTTCTTGTTTACTTAATTGTTGATAATAAATATTAAAATATTGTTCTGATTAAGTAATTACATTGACACATTGTGTAAGCAGTAAAGCAAAAAGCAAAATAATTAATTTTTCAAAAAACGAAATGAAAAAAAATTGTTTGAAAAATGATATGCATTAATTAAAGACCATTTAAAAAACAGGATATAAAACATAAGCATTAAGTAAAAAAGGTGATTAAATTTAAATCCAAGCTAAGAATCTGGTCATTATAACATCTGGTGTTACTTCCATGTAACAACTTGGCTAAAAATACCACATCCTAGTAAGCATTGTCATTTTAACACTGCACACTCTTTTGTAATAACAAATTATACAAATTTGAAGACGACTAAAATTGTCAAAGACCTTTTCATGTCAGGAAGACACAAACTTTTTGAAAGTTATATTTATATAAAAATTATTAAATTTCTAATTGTCAGTGCACTGGTGCCTTTCACAGCTTCAGTAGCTTTACCATATGACTGCATTGCTACCTTATTACATATTCTTAAATGTAGCGAATAAATGCCACAAGAATGAGGAACATTGCAGGTATTGCATTTTCTCATATCATTCCAAGTCCATTTTCTTAATTTGTTACAAAGTTAAACTTATTCAATCTTAAGCTTTGTTTGCACAACCAAATTTTATGTGACAAACATTTAACTGTAATATCCCATCATCATGCCCATTCCAAGTTTTAAATTAGTTGTCTGCACTACCAATTGTATGTGACAAATAAATGTAATATGCCCATATTTGGGTGTAATATGACACCATCATGCCTATATATGGGCACATCCCACAAATTTTATACACAAATAGTGTAGAGGGAGTGAACAGAGCTTATGTGTATTCAAATGCAATTTTACAAGGTGAAGGTCTGAGGACCGTTGGAAGGTAAGAAGCTCAAAGCCACAAATCTCGGTAACCTCACCTCTTTAAATAACAACACTGCATGATTAGGACTCATACTTGAGCTTTATTTGCATTCTATTATCTTTGGTCTATTTCACTCAATATATCTTTGATTTCGTTTCTCGATCTATCTACTGTATGAACATCAAATATTATTGATTACAAATTGTCTTAATTTAATTCATAAATGTGACTATTCTACATCAAACTTAAGCTGTTTGGTCTCATCGTCCTTGCTACCAAACATTGGATTCATGGTGGTTGTGACTGAAGACTTAAATATTGGATTTCCACCCTGCAATGCAATAAAGACATAATAGAACTATTAATAAAAGTACAGTACATTACAAGAAATAAAATATCATACCATAATCTAAAAACATGCAAACATAATTATCTTTAAATTTTTGGATAAAAAAAGAATAAAAAGTGTGCGTGTGTGTGTGTGTGTGCGTGTACTAGTTATGGTCTAGTGGTATGACATTCACGATGGTGAAAGGTCTTTGTTTTGACTTCTGGTAGAGGTTGAATAAATCAATAAATAAAATAAATAATGCAGTCACATGCCATAGCCACTAGTAAAAAATAATGAATTTTTACTAATAGCATTAAATTCTACTGGCAGAAATTCATTATATGATTAGCATTCTCATCTTTGGTGGCTTGTTGCTTAATTTATTTATTTAAGATTTAGTTTGTATACCCAATATACTTTTAAGAGAATACAACATCAGAAAAATGGTAATGCATGATTGAACTGATGAAGAATGTGAAAAACTTAACCAAACATTTAATAAAAAGTAATGTGTATATATACTGTAACATAAATACTTTCACTCATGGTTCAATTCCTTCCCCAATCCCCTCACACAATTGTTTCTCTTTAGACGAAACTGTTTTCATTCCTTGTCAATAATGATGATTTCGAATAAAAATTAAATTTTATCTTTGGCCAATTAGCATACCCACTGCCTCGAAAAAATGGAAATTTCAGAAAAAATAAAATATTTCTTTATTTCTATTATGCCCACTGGTGCCTTGAAATTTCCAAAAATAAGATATGTATATTTCTTCCTAGTTATATGAAATTAAAGCATTTAATAACCCCATTACAGTACTATGCTGTTTACATTCACCAAAAAATTTTATATTTTTATTTTCTTCTCCGTCTGGATGTCTTTGGCAAGACCATTTCCTAAATAAGAAAACAAAATTTTGTTTTATTTTTTTTTCTGCCCTCTTTTGACAATCTTTAAAAATATAAGTTCGCGAAACAAGGTGTAAAAAAAGTCACCTTAATTTATTTAAACCATTTAGTTTCTACTCTTCAATATACTTTTAATAGAACATCAGATAAAATTCTAATTCAGAAAAATGGCAAATGCAAGATTTAACTAATGAAGAATGTGACAAACTTAAACATTTAGAAAAAAACTCACATACATATTACAACATAAATACATTCAATCACTTTGCCTACTCTTAATCCCATCACAATCTTTTCTCTTGCTGATTCTGATATGTCCCCTTTATGTGCACCTTCTCCATTCGTTTACCTACCTCATCAAAGCATTATGGAGAAGCAGTGAGCTGATCAACTGTTTTGCTTGGCAGCATACATAGGGTTCTTGAAGGTGGATGTAGATGGCTTGTAAAGTGGGTTATGTCCCTAAAGCATGAGTCAAGCAATGAATAAAAGCATGAAGCATTCAAAAAAGTGAATTTTTGCTAATAACGAGTCGCAATGTAACTGTTTAATGAGGACATATTCATAATGTCATGGTTAGAATAAACAAGTCAATTAACCTTCAGTACAAGTGATCAGTGGGACCTGCTTGACTCTACCTTTGAAAGGTCAAGAATAGTGCAGCTCACTCCAGCAATAGCCGTAAGGATAAAATGAATTAAAACATATGCGCTTCTTAATAAAAATCAAGATGGTTACTACTTGTCTTAAGAACAGTGACATTGTTGAAAAAAATATATCTAGAGTATTACATTATCAATACAAATAATACTAAATAATGAAAAATGATTAAATACACAAATTGATGTAGCAATCCAAAATCTATTTCTCATTTTGTGAGTCTGCATTCTAACTTTAATACTGTTAAAAAGTAAACATCCTGACATTTTCATTTTTATTGGTTGAGAATAGTTAAAAATGAAGGTCCAGTATATTAAATTTCTATGTTGACATGCCAACCAACTGACAACATGATTAATTGTAAACATGCCCACATATGGCATAAACATCTTGCGACTAGTATTACTGCTATTGAATTACTCAATTATAAAGCACACTTTAAGCTGTATATCAATTGAACTCTGTAGCTTAGCTCGAAGAGACAATACACAATTTGTGTATTATTATGTTTCATTTCAACTCCTTCAAAATCAATATTTTTATTTTCATGCAAAAACTAAATAAATGAACAATGCTGGTATGGTCTGATGGCATTTCCACCCGCAACATGAAGCCTGGTTTCACTTATGATGGATAAAAATGACAAATAATGCTGTTTTTTCAAGCTTAATGTACAAGGTTCCACAAAAAGGTGGGATAGATATTTTTTTAAATCAACTAAATTTTAATCGTATGAATATTTGTGCAAATAACTGCTCTATGTCTTTTGGTGAAATACATATATTTCTATCAATGATGCAAAAAAGAAATGAGTTTCAATGATTTTTTAAAAATTGATGTAAAATTGTATATCTTGCAAGATAATGATTAAAAGCACATAAAATATTTAAATAATTAACAACGTAACAACATCACTGGAGTTGATTGATGAATAACACAATTATTTTATAACTTTAAATATCTACAACAAATTTTACACCTTTTAGTCCAAAGTCAACAGAATTTTAATCAAAGATTCAATAGTTTTATGGTAAAAATATGTGAGCCAAATCTGATCACTGTTAATTTATACTTTAGACGTAGACTGTCAGATTTGAAAGGTTTTGAGCCAGAACCAAAGATACTAGAAACACAAGATAGAGTTCTACACAGAAAAAAAACTATTCCACTGAAATGCATGGTGGGAATGCAAACAATGGGGCGCCGTGTGTGGCTGGATCTACAAAACTTCTGCCAAACATACATAACTGTGAATACATAACCTCTTTTTGCGGAGGTAGAAATCATTGTCATTATCCATAAGATACAACAAGTAGGCATAAATAAATCAAAACAATAAAATGACAGACACAAAATCGCAGAATCGTATGACCAGACTCTGATTAGTGATAAGTTTTTCCATAGAGTTTTTTTATTAGTGGAAAGAGAAGGGTGCCGCGTGCATCGGGATTTACTTAGCAACAGAAGGGCGGCCTGTACGTCTGGACCAAGTATACCGTAAATGCTCAAATGTAAAAACAAATTTGTGAGGTGCTTTCCATGCCCATTCCCACGTTACCTATTTCACGTATTCTATCATAGGTCTTATCATCATAAATAAACGTTTATAAATAAATGCTTGTAACCATTGCATTATTTGTTCATTTCATTTAAAACTGTGTTCCTAAAGTGTTTCTACACACAGCGCAATATAATTATACTCTCAATTAAGCACTGCAGTGCTTATTCGAGAGCGGCGCTTAATGAACAAAATCACGATTGGTCAGCGCTTATTCGAGAGCGGCGCTTATTTGAGAGCGGCACTTTTTCAAGAGTGGCGCTTACTCGAGCATTTATGGTAGACAACTTTCATTAACAAAAAGAGAACGTACGTCTGGACCAATTTCCGCCTTATTTTTGCTATGTAAGAAAATCTTGTCATTAATTTAATACATAATCACTAATAAAATGTGTTAGTTCCAGTTTATTAGTGATTATTAGTGATTATGTATTCATTAATTGATTATGTATTCATTAATTGAATACATAATCACTAATAAACACTAATAATACTCTGGAACGCTCTACCTCCTCAATTATGTATCATTTCTGATCCGCAATTATTCAAATCTACTCTTAAATCCTTCCTCTTCAAATAGTTCAACTTCTTTCTAACATCCTCCAGCGCCGGTGACAAGCCAGTTTTGTTTGCTTTAATAGGCGCTTTAAAAATGTGTATTATTATTATTAATAATCACTAATAAACTGGAACTAACACATTTTATTGCACTTTTAAAAATACTTAAGCTTCATAGAACGAACGTTACTCCGAATGAGAGGCAGGGTATGATTCAACGTTTCAACCTTTACTGGGTCTATCAAATTTGATATGTCAAATAATTTTAAGAATGAAAAGAAAAGAATGAATACTATAATAATATAAGAAAGATAAGAATGAAAGAGCAATGAATGAATATACATGAAGTGGAGAAAGCAAGGAGTTGTGAAAGAAGAAGAAAAGGTGGAGAAAAGAAAAGAAAAGAAAGGAAAAGAGAAAGTGATATGCAGAGAAATAATCTTAGGATGAAACTAACAGAAATAAATAAAACAAATTAGTAATAACTAATACAAATTTAAATGTAATAATTTTGTTTAAATAACTATTTAAAATAATTAGAATATAACAAACAAAATTTCTTAAATATCCTAAACTTTTACAATTTAAATATTAAAAAATAAAGGCTATAATTAAAAAACATGTAAAATAATTAAATTAATAACTGTAAATTTTAAATATAAATTTAAACACCCCTTGAATCAGTTGTTTACAGAGTCTAAGTTTGGAGTCGCATCAAGACATAACTCATCTTCGTATCAATGCTCACCCCACCACTCTCCCCTGAATAAGCAGTTGTGAAGTATCCATTCGAAGTCAAATAACTGTGATATTATAATTACGTCCATATTTGGGTCAGGGATATCACCACGCTGGTCGGCGGTGGACGGACCCGTCCAGCACTCAACATTTCCGACCAGGATTTACAGGCTCCCGACCACCACTATTATTTCAACAGTTTACAAATTGTAACAGAATAATTAGTTTACCTAAACACGATAGACAAGCTTAATTGATAGATAAAGACAAGAAGAATACAATAAATGTTTTCGTGGTTACATTAATTGTAACAAAATACTGCACTGCCCTGCTATTCATCGCTAACTTAACAGCCTAGCTAGGCCCAGTTGAGTCATAGCAAACGTCACATGACACACATTCAAAGTTTAAAGTTGAAATCGTGACCATTTAAGTGTTTTATTATGAGAGCATGGTCCGGGGCAGGAAGATTATTAAAAATTTACGAAACCTGATTTATGTTTTATTTCTTTACTTTAAGTTTTTCACTTTTAATTATAATTGATATATAATGTGTGTAAATGGACAAAAAATAAATAAATGAGCGCACATGAATCAGTGACATACACATTCATCGTGGTAATCATCAAACATGTGAAATTACGGCAAACAATGCGGCTGGGTACAGTCGGATCGACGCTTTGTCGCCGGGATTTGTTCATTATTATTTTTTAATCTAAAACAAAGCATATCAACTATTGAATTTAATTAGGCCTACAGTAAGTCTCATCTTCATCTGTTTTGTGGCATTCCTCAAATTCTGGTCTAGGCCAACCTGGGCCAGAATTAAGGCTTTCATGAATAGAGTGACCCCCCACCCCTGGGAAAACGCGGAATGATCGCTGACCGGCACTCCAAAAAGCTGGTGACATCCCTGTTGGGTGTAATGACACCATGGCCATATATAGACGCAACACAAACATTTGTTAAATAAAATTTGATAGTGTGAACGAGCTTTAAAGTAGAGTTTCAAAACATGTTCAAGGAAGTTTTTGCAAATCTGAAAGAATGCACATATCATATCAGGTTTTATAAATGATAACCGAGGAATAATTTAACTGAACTTACCCCTTCCCATTTAGCTTCTTGGCGTTCTTTCTCAAACTGCTCAAATTCTCTCTTATCATGGATGAATGTTAGCAATCTCCAGATTAACAACAGAGCTAATCCAACCAGAATGATCCCAATGATAATACCAATGATAATCCACAGGACATCAGGACCACCATAACACTCTAGATGAAAAAAAAAAGAAGAATTATCACCACTACAATATTAAGATTCCTATAAATATTATTATGGTTCAAAACCACCTGAGGTCATTGGAGATGCCACACCCACAACCACCCTTTATTTCAAAATTCCATATATCGGCCCTTTTTCTAAGATTGCCTCTCATAAAATTCGTTTCCTTTCTAAGCAAATAAGTATTGATTTTGAATTTAAGTTGGTTTTTTCTTCATTCAAAATCAAAAATGTTTTTTCAGTGAAGGATCCTGTCCCTGCCGGTGTCCACTCTCGTGTTGTATATAAATTTGTGTGTGCTGGCTGTAATGCCACCAATGTCGGAGAAACTAGCCGACACTTCTCAACACGCGTGCGCGAGCACTTGGCAATGGATAGGAACTCTCACACATTAAAACACCTTAAGAATTCACGCAAATGCATGCAAACTTGTAGTGAGGACTGTTTCCGTATTCTTGACTCTGCTCCATCAATTCATCATCTCAAAATAAAGGAGGCATTACATATTCAATGGGAGCAGCCCTCACTCAACAAACAACTTTACCATGTTAATTTAACTTTGTCATTCTGATTTTACTTCATTCCGTTTATCATTAATTATTCATTGCATTTATTCATGATCTTGGTGTTTACAACTTAATACGTTTGAATTACGTATAGATTGACGAATTACAAACTTCACTTCGTTTAAATAAGATTGCCTATATGGAATCTCTGTACACTGATGATGACAGTAGGATCTGTCGAAACATGTATGTAGCGTAAGGCCTAGCAATGGCTAGGCCTTGTTAAATTGTTCAGGCATTCCCTGAAATGATCGTTCTCGAAAGTATCGTCATATTTTAAAATTTTATTAGTGGTTTATTGTGTCATCGATCATTTGGTAATATTATAATTATATTTATTCATTCCTTGAACCTTACAGTATCATTATATCTTCATTCTACCTTCACTAAAATTATGGAGTTGAAAAAATTTGAATCAAAATAATAATCAAAATAATGATTGATAGTCCCAACCTTATCCCGTTTTGCCTATCCTTCATCATTAGCAGGTAAAATGCTATTTTAGTCATCTGTTGAGAATACGCTATTTTATGAGTCTCTATAAGTTTCATTAGAGGTTAAATTTATGAAGAGCACCATGTGTATATGTTTGTCATGCGGAGAGATTACCACCTATCTAATAGGACAGTGATTAAGTTGCTATTGGTAATCCTTGGCCATGGGCCTAAAGAAAAAAAAAAATTGTCTTTGATTTCTTTTTTTAAAGAAGGGTTCATTTGCTAAGAAAATGTTTTTTATTTTTGTAAAGACTTCTAACTAAAAAAGGTAGTTTGCTGACCAAAGCCTGTTTAATACCGGATTCACACGTACAAAAATCTTACCAAATGTAACAAAATGTAACCAAAAGTAACATTTTACGGCACGTGCGAAAGTACCACCGTGTAATATCCTTGTAAAATCTTGGAATGTCTCGGTAATCTTTACCAGCCTCGCTGAGGCTGTTAAAGCTTCCGAGATGTAGCATGGATGGATCTACGCATGCGCAGGAATTCCGACACAACAACAATCTACTGTGTTTCGCGGGGTCCTTTGAATTTTCGTCCTTCTTAGATGATTCCGATCCACTAGAAATAGATAGGAATAGTTTTTCTCAATGATGGATGAATTAACCTTGTTATCGATGTTAATTAGTAATGGTAGAAGATGATACATAAATGAACGTTGGGATGGTGTTGTAATAGTATTATCAAGAGTCGACAGAAACATCAGAAGCTAGGCCTAGTAGTAGTACAGTAGTACAGCAGTTGTTAAGGGCATTTGATTGCTTTGAATGTTTATTGTGATGGTGAGTTCAACAGTCCATCTATGACAGGGGACTTAGGCTAGGCCTATATCGCAGTAGGGGCAAAAATGATTCATTAAATAAAATTGAATAAATTTTACACGACCTTGGCATTACCTTACAGACGCGTGTGAATGCTTTATATCTCGGTAGGAATAACTCGGGAGATGGCTCGGTTACAATTTGTTACTTTTTGTTGAATTTAACTTCACGTGTGAATCGGGTATTAGAGGAAACTTAAGGAATTCTGAGTTTTAGGTGTTTCATATAATTTATATTGTATCCATGTATTTTTATAACAAAAAATTAATCACTACATAACTAGTACTACTTTACACAAGGGCAAATCCATAGATGTCCAAAAAAGGGGGCTGAAAGTGGGGTCGATCGAGAAATAACTACCCTAGGGGATCCCGGGGAATGCCCCCGTAAAATGTTTGGTTTCTTGACACTCAAAAATACCCTATGAGGCATTTTGTGCGATGAATTATTTCTTTTTCTTTCTTTCCTTTTTTCCAAAAAGAAGGGGGGGGGGGGCGTGGGCCAGCCAGACCCATCCTCTAAATCCACCCCTGCTTTACATACCAGGATCTTCCTTGATGATTAGCTCTAGAGTTCCGTCAGGCAAGATCTCTTGTGTATAAGTCACCACACACTGGTTCTCATCAGTATATTTGCATTTACGTGCATTTCCAACTGCTGTGAAAAACAAAAGGTAGAAACACATAATATAGATGAAACTAAAGTCAAAAAAATATTTAAAAAAATTGATAGGATAAAAATTTAAAACATTCAATATTATTATTATTCAAATTAAAATTATTATATTATAAAAATTAATGTACATTTGTCATTTCTAAAAACACGGTATTCACCAATCGCCACTTAAATATAAATAATAATAATGTTAGACTTATATAATAGTGCAAAATGGCAGGGATTTGATAAGCTTAACATTAAATATTTTTAGAAAATAAGAATTTACCGTCTCTGCAAAACTCATACAACCCAAATAAACATGCACATACACTCATTTTTTATTTAAGGTAGGCTAATAAAAATAGGAAATGGCAAATCTGCACAACATTTCTATGGGGTTAACATCCACCACCACTGTGCCACAATCCTGGACCTAGGTTTCACACTGGCATATGGTACTTTATATAAATCTATAACATGAACCATGGTCTTTGTGTTGAAGATAGTCAAGATTTGGATAGAGGAATTTTTTTTTTATTTTTGGTTTTATTATCAACCTCATGGCAAATAAATTGAAGATTTACAAAACAACATCTAAATTATTAAAATCGTACAAAATCCATAATTATTCTAAAAAAAATTACAATCATTCAATAAAAATACTATAATTAAGGATGGAGATGCTCAAGAGATGTAATATTATATAGATTTCCTGTTAATAATTCATTTCTATGTACAGTATCAACATTTTTTTTTTTTACTTACTATCTTCTAATACTTTAACTTTTCGATATTTCATTTTGCACTTTTCATCACATTGACCGTTTACAAAGTATTCCCCTTCCTCAAATTCACACTTCACACATGCTTGATTTGCTTCACATTCAGACTCGCATTCCTGTAAAAAAGCATATTCATTTAATGTGACTAAAGCCGCAATCGCACTGGATTTAAAATAGGGAATTTTTTACCGAGACTGTGGGTAACATTCCAATGGGTAAACTTCCTGTCGTTCGCACTGGGATTTATCGACGTGGTTAGTTTTACCACAGGCCATGGTGAAACTAACCATTCGTACAGATTCAACTATTGGGGGCGCTAAATCGTGAAAATCGGCCATTGAAACAAACCGAGTAATCAAGTGAAAAAAATGACAAAATTACTCAAAATCAAGACACTAGCAAACACGCGCGAAATTAATCAAGATGTTTGTGTGTGACGTTTTATTCCAGGTCACAGCTCATGCGTAATTGCCTGACAGCCTGAGGAAGGTCATTCACTGTGATGACTTGGGAAGTTTACCCGACTCACGCTGTTCGGATTGGACTTTCCTGCTAGGTAAAACTAACCTGGTCAGTTTTCCTGGGCAAGCGGGACTCGGTTAAATTAACCGCGCGGCTTGGGTAAGTTTCCTGTCAGGTAAACCTCCTGTGCTGTTCGCACTGGACTAATTATGGTAAAACTAGCCAACGTGTTGGTTAGTTTTACCAAAAAAAGTCCAGTGCGATTGTGGCTTAACACTGCTGGACTATGAGAGAATGAAAACGATGGGAAAATAGAGGTGGAAGGAGGGCTTGGGAAAGACTGGGAAAGGAGAAGCAAGATATATGAGGCATGTTGTGGCAAAATGGCTAAGTTGTAGCAAAAATTGAAAGTCAAGTTATTAGTATTTTCAGATACCTGAGTATGTGATCTTTAAAATGAGGGGTCATTCATTGAAATTGGACATTTCAAGCCTAAGTTATTGGAAAGTGAAATTACAGCACTCTTAGAGTCAAGATAAACATGATTTTGAGTAATTGCCTTCCAAAGTTATTTGTGCATACATTGTTTAATAGAATTAACTATCTAAATAACATTAAATAAACGATTTGTTGACTACTTCCAGAACTAATACTTTGGGACATGATTAATAAGACATTAAACTGTTGATCTATAGTGAAAAAAAAATTGGATTTTTAGGCAATTTTTTGCGCTACCATATTTTATAGCTCCTTTACTCAATACTGGTCTTTGCGACAACTTAACCATTTTGCCACGACATGCCTCATATGATAATAGAGAGGGAGAAGTGGAGGATGGAGAGGGAAAAAGTCAAGTAAAAGAATAAAATTGATGCAGAAGGGGCAGGGGGTATGGAAGGATATGAGAATAGGGTGGAAGAGAAGTAATGGAGGGGTTAGGAAGTATTGGTGAGGAAAGGGAGGTAGGAGGGATCAAAGGATGTGAAAGTAGACTGCAGAGTAGAGAAGGAGAGGTAGTAAAAAAGGGGGTAATAATAGTATACATTACTTACATCTCCACATTCACAAGTCTTGCCATCGAAGCCATCAATGCAATCGCATTTACCACAGTCACACTGTCCTTTACCATTACACAATTCCTATGGTACAAAGACAGAAATGAATATGCATTATACTAAACTCAGCCCATAATGGATTATTAAAGAGGAGTTCCCTATGAGAGCAGGATGTTTGAAGATGTATTGTACCTTGAAGATGACAAAAAAATCATAAAAAAAACCCGTTTAAATGAATTGATCATCTTGCAGTAGCACACAATTTATTAACTTGAGCATAGAAATTATTGAATTAAAAAAAAAGTGTACTTGATTTTTAAACTGGATAATTATAATAAAACACTTACAGTGACTGGAAGTGTTTCTATCATTTTTTGCTGTAAAATTATGGGTAAACATTTATTTCAATACAGTAGTCTATCAATGTTCAAGTTGATAACTTTTTTGTTACTTCAAAATAGTTAACTGAAAAAGTGATTTTTATTATTTTGTTTAAAGTGCACAGAGGTAGCCTAGTGGGTCCTGGGCAGGAACTCTGTTGAGTGGTTAGAGGGAATGGTGAAACGATGGCTAGGTAATCAGAGGGTGTTTGCACAAAAAGGGGGTTCAGTCAAACCTTTGCAAGCCCAGACTCCAGCCCGACTGGTAATGTTGTGGAAAGTTCCACATTTAGATTAAATTGATAAGTGTTTTGTAACACATATGAGGCTAGCCATCTCAAAACCAGCGTACTGTTACTAATTGTTAAACTGATTATTAGCATAAGAATGTGCCAGTATTGTATACTTTTACTCATAACTTTAGCAATAGTAAGTCAATTCCAGTAAATGTCCCATCATTTTATAAGCTGACAATGTGGAGAATACGAATAATATTAAAAAGTCAATTTTCATTTTTTGGTATTGATACAGGTTTTGGGATCGCAAGCCTCATATGAAAGTGAAATATAAATGACCAAATATTTAATCAAAAATAATTTATACCCCATTTGGTGCAATACAGCTGTAGTTTGACATTGAACAGTCACAGAATTCACCTGTGAAGCCTTCGTCACAAACACAAATACTTTTCACATTTGGAGTACACAGACACTTTCCTGAACCTAAAGAAAAAACATAATTTTTTTAAAATGAAAAACAGAAAGATGGATGAATAGATACACAGGGATGTAGCTATTGAAAATTAAGGATGGGTGACAAAATTTTAAGGGTGGGTTCGCACCGAAGCTGTGTGAAATTTGTGACGAAGGAATGAGCGGGTGGTGGGATTGGGGGCCAGGGGATGCTAGGGCCCCCGGTGGGATCCAGGGGCTCTGGGATTTTTGCTGTTTAGAGAGCCAAAATGATCAACTTGAGTAATGTACCTTTAACAACTACTTAGTTTTGATTACTTATAAAATAATGTGAGTACATCATTTTTTTAAGGGTCAAGGAGAAAAACTATGTGACATTAACCCTCTGGATACCGGATTCTTTTATAGTGCAAACCCTTGAATACCGGATTCTTTTGCAGTGTAACAAGGTTTTTTGCGTTTTTTGAGTATACGTTGTTCTGGTGGATTTTTAGGAACTTTCTGTAAATTATACAGAAAAATGTTTCAAAAACAAAGAAAGCTTATAGAATAAGCTTTCATTTGATGTATAATTTGTATTTTTGGGAATTTTTTTTCATAATATAATATGATATAATATATATATAATATAATAGAAATGACAGAAAAATGCTACATATAAATCGTCAGCAAAAACCGAAAAAAAAATAAATTATAGCCAAAAAAAAATAAAAACAAATATAAAACTTTCCTATTCCACACAGTTATATAATTTATTTACCCAACCATCGATAACTATTAGCGCGATCTTTCCATTCAAAAGCGTCGACTACCCTCACATTTCTAGGCCTAGGCTCATCTTCATGAATAACATCTCCGCCGTCAGAACTGCTTGAAGCCCCACCGTCATCATTGCTAACAGGCACGTCTAAGTCTCGCACATCTAAAAATTCACCTTCATCGCTGTCTGAATCAAAAATCAGGTCAATCGCTTGCTCAACTGTGTACACATCTTGTGCGGCCATTTCGAAAAAATTTTGGAAATTAATAACGATTTCAAATTGATATTTCTAAAAATTTTTATATAAGCGCATGTGAGTTCTTTACAGATTTCGAAAGACAAAAGCTTCACGCATGCGTGTTCTAAATTTCTGACGTATTGGAGCTAAAATGAAAACAGAAGAGCGATTTGAAAACCACCAATTTTTTAGTCACGAAATTTCGATTGCAGTCGAAAATGGGAATTCTCGGTTTGAGGTCAATTTCGACTACAGTCGAAGACGGTATCTAGAGGGTTAACTACTATTCTTCATTCCAGGATGAGAGGATCATGCAGGTAATGTCATTTTAATCAAGATAAACCAAAATACATTTTTGAAGACAAGGAATACTGTATGTGACAATAGTCATCATCATGTAGTCATCAGTATGTCAACTCTTCTGTTCAGTTACTGTCTCATGCAAATTTGTAACAGTCATGGACTAATAAATAAATCTAATGACGAGGTTTTGAACTCAGTGTATTTTATTTGCTAATAGGTGGCCTAATATTAATATTCCATAAACTTTAGTGCCAATTCCAGTATGGGGAATCCCCGTTTTTACGTACTTAGGCAGTCATGAACTTTACCCTGGATATGTAAACCCAAGCAGCGAGAGAAAGTGCGGTAGCTGGACCCTACTTATTTTTAATAACATTAAACTGTACAATACAGTGTGAAATGATTACACATGCTAGAGGTACATGCTAGAGGTAAGCCTATGCTTGCAAACTTTAATAGTACATATACCACTAAGCACTAAAAAATGTGGAAAAAAAAAGAGATATCCTATTTCATGTTAGTTTGACAAGTTCGGGTATTTTCGGCTACATGATAGGCCTAGTTATTTTTTGTACAACTGAGAGCTAGTGTGTTTATCAAACTATCTTGCTCTCAAGCCGAAGTAACAAATCATGTGTTTTGAACATTCAGTGAAGCGAAGCACCTTGGCGAAAACAACACCTGACTGTGGTGCGAGAATTCATTGATGGTTTCAGCATTCGCTGATATTTGGGAAAAAACTTGTTTCTGCATGATTTTAAGGGTAGGCGAGAGGGTTTGAGGCTTGGTGGAAGGCCTTAAAAATGTCCTTAGTGTGGGCGCAAGGCGTCAAGGCTGGGCGGCTCAGCCCACCTCTGCCTGGCATAACGATATCCCCGATACAGTACAAATATATACTTTATATCCTTTAACTCTGTAAACTACAAAAAGATATGTTTTAACTATTAAGGAGCTAAAGTTTGGAATTCTTCAGAAGTTAAATGGATAGAAGAATCCATACGACTGACTAATTCTAAATTGTATAGTACTTTAGTTTTTGAGCTTTCAGCAGTTGTTAAAAGACATGACCTCCTGGGCCTCTTGGAAGACTAATTTTCAAATTCAGATGCAAATGAGCCTCTGTGAATAAATGTGTTAATATCATTAAACAAATGAATGAATAGATAGAGTACCTAGTGGGCAGCACAATTAATAACAATATGTTCAATATTTACCTGCACATATTTTGTTGCTGTTTGGATCAATACAGTCATTAGTATCACACTCACAGTAATCACCTTGAACTAAACGCTGTAAAAAATTGAAAAGTAAAGTAAAAAGATATTCAGGCAAGAAAACAACTGATAAGAAATTATTTAAGAAATATTCTAGATGAATGAAAAATAGAGAAATTGAAAAAAGAAATTGAAAAAAAACAATCATATTTGCTTACTGGCGGTGTGGTGTCCCTGCATATGCACAGGCCACAGTTGCACTGACCACGGCTGGAGCAAGGGGCCTCGTCCCCTTTCCTATGAAAAAGGAACAACATCATAACATAAAGATTATATAGTAGCGATTAAACTACATTAATAGATTATACATCTAAGATTTTATTCAACAACTGTATGTTTTAAATCACTTTTTTATCTAGCACTGGCATTTTTATTAAACAAATGTAACAGAATTGAAAATGAAGGTACAAAAATTACAGTTCAGAACGCCATTAAAACTGCAGTTCCCTCAATAAATATATCATACAGTATAATTATACTCTTAAACCAATAAAAAAAAATCTCTGGCAGGCACGCCCTGCATGGTATAATGGTTATACTGCCCTTAGACGCTATCTCCGCTCTCTGTCAGCGCTTGACGACAACATGCCGGCAAGATGATGCTGTCTGCTGAATGACGCTGGTAGACTGAGTGGATCGTCATTGAAATGACTTGCTGCACGTGAACATGTCACATGACAGTCGATGCAATGTGTGCCCGACTAAAATATGTGGCAAAGACAAGCCAAACCAGTCACTTGTCGCAAATCCTGTTTCCGATATAATGGCCAAAACATGCTTGAATGTCAACATTTTGGAAATCTATTTTATAGCATTAAACTAACCTTTATATATTTTTACATCATGCTATGTTGTTAATTTCCCCATTTTCAATGCTAAAACAACAATTTTTAATGAGTTGGAGACGGTTTCTGCTTAAGAAATGCAATTGTAAACGTTGAAGGCTGATTTCTGAAATATTGTTTTTGAAACACCTGTATGTTTAAACTCCTATAACTTTATAACCAAATGTCAGATTTAAATGATTCTTTTACCATTTTATAGCTCTCATCATACTGTTTAATCCTGTATTAATAACTAAAAATTTATTTTTGGGACGAGTGATTAGTTTGGGTTGTCTTTGCCACATAAATATGGTTATCAGGTAAAATGCCTGTATAGTACCCAATTACAAAACTATGACATCAAGTACTCACTTGACACATTTTGGATCGATCTCTTCGCTTTCCTCCTGATCACACTCACAAAATGCTCCTGACCGCCCCTTGTTGCAAACACAACCACCACACACAAAAGTCCCATTACCATCTGTACATTTTGGTGAGACAGGTTCCTGAAAAACCGAATAACAAAAATAACCATTGAAATTTCATAGAATTTTCACATTTTATATCATACTTTGTTAACAGTGAACAGACATGATTATATTATTATCCCCAAAATATGATGTTGAAATCAGAATTGAGGATAAAATTTTACTTTCGGCAAGAACAGCTTCTCTGCAGAGGCAAATACACATTATTACTGACAATAAATTTATATAATTTGCTGACTACAAACTACAAAAAAAGTGAATAAATTTATTTGAATCAGCATTTTCCCTCTTGCGTATTAGCAAATTTCAAACATTTTTCTATTACCTTATTCTGCTCGCAATCGCAGTCACAAATCGCCTTCACCAAAATATCCAGTTTCTCTACAAATGATACAGGTCCAACTTTAAAGCTTCTCCTGATCAAAGATTTTAGAATCAATTATCAATATTATTGTAATAGAGAAGGGTCAGTAAAAACAAAATTACAACAATAATTTAAAAAAATTTATTCATTGTTATCTCAAAATATAACATAATATTTATTTAACACATTATGCAGCTTGTCAGATCGAGATGTTAGATATGTTAATGAATAAAAAATTATGAATGAAATGTACACATATTACATAGATATACATATTCAATAACTTGCTTTTTCCATTTATGAACATGTCAGGGCCCACCAAACATAATAACCATAGCAAATTATGGCTAATAATTAGTTACTGCTTGCAACACTAGACTATCCCCATCATGTTTATGTTAAGTACTAGGGCATTTACCATGAATAGTACATTCTTTAAAACTGAAATTTTAACAATTTTCAAAAGCTAGCGTTGGAAACATGTCCATCGCGTATGATGGTATACATACGTACATTATATACAAAGTAAGAAGTATATACAATCATTTTATGTATCAATTGCCTATAAACATCTTATATTTTTGCATTACTAAAATAGAAAGCTACAAACTGGAAAATTTACTTACGATTTTTTTTCTTCATCGCAAAGTGTTTTATTGACAGTAATATTGAGAGAGAAACTAATGGTATCCCCCAATGCTAACCCCTCACATTCTTTGCTGTTAGGTTTACCGGTTAGACTCGCATAGCAAAAAGAAGTGTAATTTACGGAGATGAAGTCCTTCAAATCTCCTGTAATATTGTCATCCATTTCAACCTTTGATGTAATTGACTGCACAAGACAAAAAATGATAACACATTATACTATCACTTGCAAATCATCATTTACATATCATTTGCATACTATCAACAAGTGATATCAATAAGCAATTGTTTCCATACCTACATTTGTAATTGTTAATAAATTAGAATTCATATTATCATTTGCATATAATAATTTACATATTGTAATTAGAAATTATCATTTGCATAATTCATCAGTCATAATTTTCCTAGGAACATTTTCCTATTATTTGCATGTCAAGTTATGGACTTCAATTTGATGAAGCAGTCGATTGTCATTTACTAAAAAAAAAAAAAAAAATATTTGTTTGGTGTTGAAGCTTCTTGATGTTGTTGTCGAACTGTTTTGTTTGGTAATTGCTATGTGGTTTTAATATTGCACTAATGGTTTTGTTTGGTCTGGTATGATGTATTGTGTACACACTGAGAGATGCACCCCTGGCGCATATACCCCAGCAGTCCTTCGCCAGTATTGATCAAGATCCAGATCCCGATACCATCATCTGGATAACATTATATAAACGTAAGCACTTGCAACTATTATGGCCTTTAATCAAACTGCTGGTTGGTATATATAACCATAAATCAACTGGTTGTGGTAACTGGTTGTGGTAACCAGTTGCTCAGTTATCAATATATTAACTGTGCATGTGCGCTGAGCGTATGAGAATGATTTGTTAGTAGTGCACGCAATGACACCCTTAGTGCAGCTCATCACAGCTACCTCATCTTCACAATACGAAGATTAAATAAATTTGATACAAGTTTGATGTGTGCGTTCACAGCTTGGCCCATCAATGAAATATTCATCATGATGTAAAATCAGCCAGCTTTGACCATTTTGCACGAGACACAAAAATCAGAGGCACTACAGTATATTAAATTAGTGATCAGTCGGGCAAAATTCAGTGCAAATGAAAGTGATGATGTCACCACTGACTTATAAACACAAATAGTTCATTTCACCATTGATTAACCCAAAACATCACTTAAGAAAGGTAGAGGAGATGGGGACCAGGGGTTCAATGTGTTAACTGCAAACCACCCCAAGAAGAAATTAAAAATTTAATTTCTAATTTCTAATTTAATGTACACATCACTCATCTTAGGATATATAATGGAGGCCAACAGTTATTCAAATTATATATGACCTTGATATATTTATCAACATATAAATCTGCATGCAATATATAAGACTAGTAATAGTGCAGTACGGAAGTCTAAGGATGATATAGTAAAAGCCATTTTTATTAATTCAAACAAAAACCCAACTTACATCATAAATAGCTTTTATGACATCCACAACATTTGACGAGTCTTCAGAGATTTCTGTGACTTCGGCTTCATGAAAAAAGGCAGGCAGTTTCTAGAGGAAATACAAATCAAATTGTTTCAAATTAACAGAAATAACTGGGTTCCTTTACAAAACAGAATACTACTGTGTTCTGTTTACACTGAGTGCGGAATACACTAACCAAAAAAAAAAAATCAGTAGTTAGTAGAGAATAATGTATTCAAGAATTGAATAACCACCAAGTCAAAGCTCTAATTAGAAGGCAATAGGAAACTTTTGATTTGCATGACAACTCAACACTAGAACGAATTCACTCATGCGTGACCGTCCTACGCTCCTTGCACAACGTAGATTCACCTAAAGTGTGTCCTACAATCCACACGAGAACTCAACGTTCTTGCATGCGCAGATGACATTACGTTCTATGCCCTACCATCGAATATCGAAAGATCCTATTGTTTGGAGTACCCACCTCATACTGAGCTATAACATCAGAAGTGACTGCAAATACTGGTAAGATACTGTTGGCCTCTAGAACCTGACTAAGCTGACTCACACTGGGGTAGTCCTGAAAAAGAAAATATGATTAAAACTATTACATTTTGAGGAAAACAAGATGTAATAAATTTTTAGAAATAGAAGAAAATCAAACAGTTAACTTAAAAATATATTGTCTCCGTAAATGACAAAACATCAAAAAAACCAAGTTTGAAATTAACTTGCTCATTTTGCAGTAACATAAAAATTATTAACTTGAGTACAGAAATTATTGAATTTAAAAAATGTGTACCATGATTTTTATAATGGATAATGATAATAAAAATAATAAAAACACTAAAAGTGTTTCTAACATTTTTCACTGTGAAAATTATGGGTAAACATTTATTAAATAGACCAATTTCTATGTTCAAGTAAATATTTCATATATTACTTCAAAATACACAAATCAATTGTGATGTTGGTAGCCTATGAGTGAGATACCTGGATAACCTTCCCTCCCTTCCTACCCTCTCCGTGATCTTTTCAATCTCTGGGGAATGAGGACAATTATTAGGGAGACGGTTCGTACGTGGCGCCCTAGGTCGGACTGTTCCATTTTATTTCGAAGGGGTGTTCCGTTTTGGGAACAACGGCAATTAGTCGGTTTATCCAGGTAAGTATTCACGAAATAATGTATTTTTGGTTTCTTTTTTTGGTTTTTTTTTTGTACTTTGCATGGGACAATACACCTTGAAAGTAATGATGAAAGATATTGTTTTATTGAGGTACTTTATAAGAACTCACCAGTTGATCTTGCATAGTGTAATACCCAGTTACGGGATTTGTGTGACATTTTCCGTCATTGGCTTTGACAATCCCACCAAGCTGACAAAGACAAACAAAATTATATATCACAAAAATTATATATCACAAAAATTATATATCACAAAAATTATATATCACAAATATAGGCTACAGTACCTCATGACGTACTGTCATGAGGCACTTACATTTTGAGGCAGATACATAAACTGTGTTTAATTTTCTTATTGACAAGACTTGATGTAGTGTTACATACATATGTGAATGGATATAATAAATATAATAAAAATATACCTTGCCATCTCCAGCAATATGAAATGCTGAATTTGTAGTGTAAAATAACAGATGCCGAGCCCTCTCACGCCATCCAATTATATCCTATGAAAATTATTGAAATAGGTTTCATTTCTCTTTATTGCATCACGTAAACAATAACGAAAACAAACATTACGCATCTTGAAAAGTTTAAGTATCAAATAGAAAAAAGTAAACAAGAATAATTATGTTCAAAATTTAGTGGTATAGAAATAGATAAATTGTCTGAAAATAAGTTCAAAAGTTTACTAGATCACAATGAGTGAATTTTGATTGACAATACAGATGCACACAGTGTTGAAGAATATCATTGTCGTGTTGTTATCGTGTCCAGTGCAAATCTAGCTTTTTCCGAGAAAACTTATTCTACAGCCAATAAAACCCTTGATAGGTTATCTAAAGCCTGGTTTCATTCGCTACACTGTCACTACAGCATTTTTAGTGCAAATCCAAATAATTAATTGTTACATTGCTATTTGTTATTTTTAATATAATAATCTTACCTGACATGAGGCAGCTTGCATGAGGGCATCAAGACCGCCCTCAGGGTAATCCAAACTACCAGAAGGTTGAAGGTCACTTACAGCTTCCTATTTTTTTAAAATAAATAGCATGGCTATTTAATATTTGTTTCACAAAAAAAAATTACTTTACAAACAAAAAGAAAATAATTAAAAATACCACTTTCTTCCAAGTTTGTTTCTTACTGACCTGCGTCAAATATATAGAAACACATGCAAAGCACTCACTTGGAAGAGGTTAGTTTGATTTGTTAGTGAGAGGGCGTTCTGGAAGGAGAATGGCGGCTGACACTTCTTGTCTAACAGAGTAGTTCCTTCACATGGATTATTAAGTCTGTCAAAAAAGAAAAGTACATTTACTATCATCCTAACTGAAATATGTTGAGCATTCTAAAGCAGAAGAATAAATAACAAAGAAACTTTGCTTGCATACAATATACAAATCATGACTAGTTATTATGACTATAAGCCTTAGCCTATGTTCTCACAGGGCAGCTAACGTTTAGCAGGATCCAGATCCTGCTAACCATTAGCTGCCCTGTTAAATGTTTTGTCCTCAAACATGATGGCAAAAGTTATTGTCAAAAACTTCTGTAGAGGGATGAAACCATCAGACAATTGGTAAGTGGATACTAGCCAATTATATTGAACCAAATGAATAACTAGTCTACTACTTACTTTGTCAAATCCACATAGGGCATGACAACCTTGTCTACAAAAGCGCCAAAGCCAAGACGAAAATCGCGAGTGATGTTTGCCATTGTACTAGCTAAAAAAAGGTGAAGACAAAAATAATTTCATTTTATAGAGACTACAAGACAAAACAATATATTACTTTAACTTATATCTTTGACAATTGTGCTAAAATATATAATATTAACCGAATCTCCAACAGAAATCTAACAAACACTCTTCTCAGTCGTTCAAATATTCACGCAATTGCAGATGTGCTATGCCACAGTCGCCTTCGCTGGTACGGCCATCTTCAGCGTAGTGAGGTTGACACATGGCTAAGGCGTATCACAGAATTTTATGTTGACGGACCTCGTCCACGAGGTTTCCCACTTAAGTCATGGCACGACGTTGTGAGGGTAGAAGACCTCTTCAGGTTAAGGTTCAATCCAGAAGTTGCCGTATATCGCACCACCAGGTCTCACCTTGCAGCTAAAACCTACAGCCTCTCTACAGTCTAACCCTCACATGTGGGGAAAACAGACTTTAAAAGATGATGATGATGATAACCTACCTAAATCGTTACCCAGTTTTCCAACAGTTGCAAGATCATCAATCATTGAACTAGACACATCCATCACGTAGTACAAATCCAATGGATAGTCCTCAGCCTGCCGAATGTTAACCTCTACCTGGTATGTGTCACCTAAACAATTAAGAAAGGATACCTAATAATTATCACTTTCACCAACTTTATCATATTCAACATCATTACTCTAGTATCAACAATATTACTACCACAAATCCTCAATTCATTAGGCCAAATTAGGAGCTCAGGTTATTTTTCTGCACTGGTTCATATCCGGCCAACGTCAGATTTTATATTTGGAGTCGAATGCTTTAAACCACCCTCACATGTAGGCGAGGTAGGGGACATATTGGTACTGTATCAACCGAGTGGTTACCATTTCCTCAGCCAAAACACATCAGCCAAGTGATGGGCTCTTAATTGGTAAAGAAAATAAATATACCTGTGTCTGACATTAAAATGCATCTAATCGAATCACCAGCAACTAACTGGCAGCCCCATCTACAGCGTTTGGGTGGGAGGGCGAACGGTCACCCAGCAGCAATAAAAAAGTAGCTGAACAAAGGGCTGATGAACTCCTCGAAACCAACAGCCAAACCATGCTTAGGTTAAGGAATAGGATTATTTTGTTTAAGTATTAATTTCTTGGTACGTTTTTTCATGTTTATCTTAAGCGAATAGAGGTCTCAATAAATATGCGCTTAATAAGTCAACCATTATTATTATACCGTATATACTCGCGTATAAGATGACCCCCGAGTTTCAGAAGGGTTCTGTACGTTTTTTGTATGTTAATCAATATCTTATTTCCAAGTAATTCAAATTACGTTCATTCATACTAACATTTAGTATGTTCACGGCAGTAGTAAATTCACATGTTACGGACGATCCGCACATAAGACGAACATGATTTCAAAAATATAATAGTTGTATGTCTTGCGTATAAGACAACCCCCTGTTTTTCGACCGCAATTTGCTATTTTAGGCCGTATATGTATATCTATGCCAAAGCTGACCCTATATTTTCAGGATTTTGGATTGGTTAGGCAACACTATATTATTTTTTTTGAAATTTTTTTTCAGCTGAAAAATAATTATGATATCCGAAGAAGAGTCACATTAACGTGTCATGAAGTTTACCTGGTCGCAACTCAAGCTCTATTTGTTGTGGTTTCACCTGCACAGCCTCACCAACGGCAGCATCACCTGCATTACTCAATTCAACATCCTTCAAAGCATAAACAGATGTACAGTAGATTAGGTATCTTCAATTTAATACTGTTGTTAATCATTTTAAATATTTGAAAGAATTCAATACCTTGGTTTGTTTATATTTCTTAGATTGCAAGCCAATTATTTCTCTCTACATTACAATATCAGGCATCAGACCTTAGAAACAGTCTACTGTAGTAAAATACACACGCTTTTCTACTGTATACGACTTGTGTTTATTAGGGTAGTCAAGCATGAACCATCTTGGGTTAAAAGTCATTTTAGCTGTAGTCAATCCTTTGCCTGCAAAATTAATTATTTACCTTGATTATAGTTAGTCCAGATTTTGGTTGCACTATATCTTCTTTTGGGCAGCCTTTGGCAATCAATGATTCTGGAACATCACATTTGTTTGAGGAGATGGTCTATATGAACAAGAGTAACAATAAAAATGAATATATTCGAAAGCCAGGGTGACTTTAAATTTAATCATTAAAGGTTACATGACTATGAGAATCATCTTTATATAGTACATCTTTATAAAAACTTCTGATTATTTCCAAAATAAACATTCAATATTATTGTTGCTGATACAACTCAAGTTTTGTTACATTTAGTAAATTCTTTATGGTTTTTTTTTTTCTTTACATGTGAACTATACAATTTCTATAGCTATGAACTTTCTAATATATAAAGTTTAATGGAAAGAATGCAATATATACTTATTACTACATGTTTAACTTTTACACACTTCAGTTATCTAAAGTAAGGCACCACATGAACAATAAATGTTTATTTTATAAACACAAAAGTATAGTCTTTCACAACTCCATTGTAATTCCAAGATTTTCTGTTTGTTTAATAATATATGGTGTACATTTTTGACGCCATGTTTTTGTACTCACGGTAGACTTGCACCACGCACACTCTGCACTTTGTACCATACAATCACCGCATGATTTAGCTGCAGTACATTTAATTCCTAGAAAAGGCACAAAAAGAAATGAACTGGCGATATGTTATAGAAGAAACATGATGAATTCATTGGTTTCTAGAATTGAATTTTTAATTTACCTTGTGTAACATCTAGAAATACTGATAAAATAACGATGCATAAAATTGCTAGCCTCAGCCAGAGAGACTTCATTTTGGTTGGAAGTATGGTACACTATCCCTTTAAATTCAAGATACCTGAAAAAAGCAATAAAAGAATTAATTATCCATCTGCTTTCAAGAATAGGGTACTTTCAGTAATAGAGAACTGGTCCAATTTTATGTTAGTATTATTCGCCCTGTCATGGAGTACGCCATTCCTGTTAAGTGGGGTACTTGTATATCCGGTGTACAGTACAATCCATAGCCCTAAAACAAATAAAACGAAAAGCGCTTCGCATTATCCTCTCCTGGGTTAGTTACAATTGGGCCCTAGCAGTCTCTGATCTCCCCGACCTCACTGAACCCCTCACACGATTATGAAAACAATACTTTGAAAAAATTAAACATCCAACCCACAGACTGTATGATCTCTTGCCAACAGAACGGGCTATTAATTATAATCTCAGGAAAATAAATCAGTTACCACTTCCTGAAGTCAAAACAGAAAGATCTAAAAAATTTATTATTACGGTAATCATGATATTTTTAAACACTGGTAATTTTAGGTGCGCCATTCAGTGACAACAATAACCAAAGCATTTTGTAACTTTCTTTTATTTGTCTTTTGGTGATTTTTAGTGTTTTAACTTTTTTATATAATTGTTGAGCTTTTTATCTGCGTTTTTTTATTTACTTCAATTTGGTGTAGATTTTTATATCTTGTCAGATGGCAATAAAGTGAATTCTGAGATTGAAAAAAAAAAGGATATTAGCTGGGTAAAGAAAATGTCTTTTACTGAGGCACAGCTTATAATAAGTTAGGCCTAGTGTTCCACATCATTATCTTTAGAATATTAAAGTCAGGCTCCGCAGGAAAACAATTTTTTGATATGTTGTATCCAACTGATTGAAGACACATAAAGGATGTTTGACAAAAAGCTTGGAAACAAACACTGTTTTTTTAAACCTTTTTATTGTGTCTGTAAATTTGGCGACCCACTCGACAGAGATTTGACTTTCTTTTTTGAAGCCAGCCTCCTTTTTGTCTGTCGTTTTGGTGTGTTCTTTTTGTAATCTGTTGAGGCGAATAAACGAAATGAAATGAAAAAGAAAATCAGTTGTACAATAAATCAAAACATTTTTTTCCTCCAGAGACTAGCTTTAAGAATCATTTTCTGAACTACCCCTACCCTACTTTAAGTGATAAACATTCACATGCATGCAAAGATTGCAAAAAAATAAATTAACTGAATTATAATGATAACGGTCGTAGACGAGCATTCGATTATTGATGATGCGCAATTCATCAAGCATGTTGATGAGAAGGAGAGGACACCCGATGCTCTGTACAAGGAATCAAATCTAATCTTCAAAAGCCAAAACTAGATTATCACAGTTAATTTGAATAATTTCAAGGTTAATCTAGCAAGCACCGATATTCCTAAGGGGGCCCGGTAGCATATTTGGAGAGATAGCATCAGGGCTTAAACGCATCGTGAGATATGACCTACTGTAAGTTCGTCTCATAAAGCTATGCTCACTGGATTAGCCATGACATTAGACCCTCAGGGCTCAATCAAAATATACTGTACACAATTAAATGACAGGTGATGTAATGATTCTGTTATTTGATGCAAAATTTGAAATATATAAATTTATTTTTTTCAATATGTATTGTTATTTATATCCTATACAACAGTACAGACACACATTAATTTTAAACTACTACCTTCTCCAGTGGCAGATTCAAAGGGGGGGGGGGGGGGGAACCTGCCAGGGCCCCTAAATTTTTCTAAATTATTGAAAAAAATTGAGGAAAAAGGAAATTAATAACTAAATTTAGGTCTGAGAGTGCCATTTCTAGCCATCTAGGGGTGCCATAATCATAAATTTTCTTACCTCAGCCCCAACCATGGTTGGGCTGAAATGGTCTACAGTAGACCCTCTGTCTGTGAAAGTCCCTCCCCCTCTATTTTGTATTCCTAGATCCTCCACTGTTTTCGAAGCCACACCTGCTTCGTTTGGTGACTTAATCACCAGTAAGATAGCAGTGTCTATTTGACGCTAATCAAAGGAAGATGGCTAACATTACAATAATTGTCATAACATACAATAATAATGTCCACAGAACTGTCAAGTATAGGAATACAGTACAGAGTATACAGTAGTATTTATTTGTGGTTTGAGTTCTACAGTAGTTTCCAATTGAAAGATGCAGTATAAGCCATTCAAACATTTTAATTTTATTCATTTTTTAACATTTGTTTACTCTTCAAATTATAACTTTGTAGAGTTATGTACACTACAGTGTAGAGGTTTACAACCATGCAACTCAATTCCATTGAAATTCCAACTTAAAAACCAGATGAAATGCTTTCAAAATACAGTACTCCACTATCACATTCACATGACATACAACACTACCTATAGTTCATACAATAAGGAAATACCCATTAAAAAAATTTTTATTTTAGAAAAACAGTAACAATACGATATTTCTGTAGTATTTTTGTCTCTTTCCGTACATCCGTAATTAGGCAAAATTTCCATAGCAACTACGGAAGTTCTGTAGTACTTGAGGAGTCTGCTCTATCCCATTATAATTCCAATTTACAAACTAGATGAAATTATTTTAACTACAGTGCTGTACTCTATAACATTCACATGATGTACACTACTACTGTACTGGCTATTGTTCATAAAACAATAAGTAAATACAGTACTAAGAAAATGTGTCATTTAAGTAAAACAGTAACTGTAATAATATGCATTAACATATTACCAAAATCAGACTAGAGTACAGGTAGAGGTAAAAATCCTATTATAGGAAGCCTATGGCTTCAAATTTTATTTTTAGTTTACCCTAAGATTTCCTGTAAGTTACCACTAAAGACACCATTAACGCAAGACTGACAAATAAAATAGCATGAGTTGAAAGGCAAATACTGTAGCTTTAAAAAACAATACTCAATTGTCTTTCAAGCAATATTGGATCAGGGTTAAAACAGTCATTCTTCCTGGGTTACCATGTTAATGTATTCATCACTTGAAGAGCCATAAACATACAGTATTGTATTACGGTATTGATTGTTACTATCAAAATAAATAATAAGATAGCTGAAGACAAATTTCATGAAATTGTTTCTAATTTTCCAACGTAAAAATCCATACAGTACTACATTTGTCCTGGCTGCAAATTGCTTTCCCCATAAATTAAGACTGCATGAGAAAACTGAAACTAATAACAACCAAAATTTGTTGTCACATTTTAATTTCAATATATCAATATATAATATATTATAATATTTTAATAATTAATATTAATAATTATAATTAATTATAATATATCAATAATATCAAAAGTTAATTATATCCACAATGAAAGTAGTTTAATTTTGAAATATACTAAAGTAACACTAAGAAAATACTAATCTGTACTATACTGTATGCACCATTTAGGCAATAGGGAAAAATACACAGATCAGGCCTGCAGCCAGGTTCTTCAAAGGGAGGGGGAGGGGGATGCTCTCTGGGCGTAGGGTCCAGGGTCGAAGCCCTGGTGGGGTTGGCAAAACCCCCAAAGCCAGAGGATTTTTGTGCTCTATGGGTCTAAATAATGCAATAAAAACAGATATAGTATGCTTGACAACGTCTAGTCTAGGTGGTCTGCAGTGCATTAGTTGGGTTGAAGAACTTTTTTGGGAAATCTGAAGGAGCCATAAAAATCCCCCCTGGCTACAGGCCTGCAGATATAGATTAGACATAAACTGTACATGTACAGTTCCAATATAGATATTACCAGCACTTATGATTACTGTACTTGGGTCATGGATTTCATGGAAATATTAGAGATTGAGTGCTGACACTTTACACATAATAATATTACAATACTACTACAGGGTAAGTATCATAAAAATATGTTGCAGTGTCAATGCACAGTATATATCTATTAATACAGGCTATCCTACTAATGAACTTTACATTTGAATTGGATTCGACTTACTCGGTGTAAACACTGAAGAAAACTTATTTCCAGTGTGGTCTTTCTGGTGGTGATTGGGCAAAATACACCGGGAGACAATCCCCTACGTTTTTCCAAAAAGTGTACAGTACTGTGTTGTTGAAAGCCCCATTCCCGGCAAAATTTCACTAAAAAAGAATTTTTTTAGAAAAAAATGTATATGCATTACTCTTAATTATTACAAATAATAGAAAAAATATTGGCATAAATTTTATTTTTATACAAAAGAATAAGAAAAATGAGAAATACAGACTATTTCTCATAGGAGATTACCATTTTCTCGACGAATTCTTTGTTACTAGGTAAAATTCAGAGGTTGTAGATCGCATCCACTGGAATGCTCTTGCTTTTATTATGTATGCTTTATACAGTCAATAAAGTGTGCCCTCTTCTTAGATTAGTTTTTGTACTTCGCATCTCGCACACTGCAGTCAATTGAGTAGGCCCGAGATACGTTTGTTTAAGTGTCAAAATCTCCGTCAGAATCAGTTTTTTAACAAATTTGAAATAATTCCTATGAAATATTACATTTCACAAGTGTTAATACTAGCAACGGAAAATATCATGTCTTATTTCGGCACCTACTATATTTCTTAGCAGACCTATCGCAAAATCAAACATGAAAAATTTATCCACATTTATTTTTTGTGTGGAACACAAAAAAATCAAATTTCAGTCTTATTTTACATTTTTTTCATGTTTAGGAATGTCTAAATTTAGTTAAATTAGCAATTTCGTATTACTACAGTATATTGATAAATCTTTATAACATATACTGTACAAAAATCAGATTTTCTTAAAACTGAAATTTTGCCGGGAATGGGGCTTTAACATCCACATGGGCCATAATGTACAAAAAAGAATAAAAATAAAATAAACTGTCGATAACCAGAAACAAAGGCTAACAAAAATTAATTGAGATGACCTTTCACAGCAACAATACAGTGGGCCTAGATAGCTCAGTCTTCACAAGGACTTAAAATATAGAAAATAATTTCTGGTAATTGTAATGCTAGATTATGTTTACCTTATGAATTCTTGCATCATTTAGGCAATAGAAATTAAACATGGAAATAATTCCTAGATTAAGCAAAATTACACACAACATACAGTATTATTACATACAATAATATTTCCAGTGGGGTCTTTCTGGTGGTGATTGGCAATACTGTACACTGGGAGACAAACTCCTACTCTTTTATACTGTAGATAGTGCCAGCAGACATGTACAGTATGTTTGTACACGTAAAGTGTACTGTACACATTGAGTCAGGTCGGGTCATGCCTCAACATACAAACCATACGTCATTGATGATAACCTAGTTAGGAATAAACCACAGCTCAATCATAGATAGCCAGGCCTATGATATGTTAATTTTCTGTATGATTTCACAGACATATTACCGTTCAAGAGACTGAGTGGTGCAGATACTTCATACTAATATTATTAATATTAAAGTAGATACTGTATACAGTACAATGTTGAAATGTTAATATACACTACTATTACTGTACAGTATCCCTATTAATAATGAACTTTAAATTTGATCAACAACAAACATTCTTGATAATTAAAAAAAACATAATTTAAAATAAAATAAGCTGTTAAATATTAATTACTAGTAACAAACGCTAACTACTGTACTGTAAAATTAATTGAGATGACCTATCACAGCAACAGTATTATTCAGGAGGACTTGAAATAAACCACATATAGTAAAATTATCTCTGGTAATGTACTGTTAGTTTATTAATGTTTACCTTATTAGTTTCTAACTGGCAGTAGAGTACACTGTAGCAATAATAATAATATCAATATTGTACTTGTCAGTCAGCTAAAGTAAGGTTTTGTTTAACAACTTTTCACAACTTCAAAAGTATATAAATTTTCAGGATACACACAGGAAAATGTTTGATCTCTTTGTAATTAATTACTTCCCAAATGTGCGTCAGTTTCTTTAAATTACCGATTATAAGCATCTCTTGACCCTCTGTTGGACATAGTTCTTGCAATTTTCATAATTAAACGGATTCATTATTTACGTCATTAAATTAAATTTAAAATCATTTGTGGTAACTAGAAAAAACCTAGCAGTAGTCAGCACCTATCTTGGTAAACAAAGAAGCCATCTTTTGCAATGTTTCTTTATTATTGTGACGTCCGAAATGACATAGGTCTGATTGGGTTATGCCATCGTCTATGTAAACAGAGTAATCTATTATACTGTATTTTTAAATACACTGAGGTTACGTAACTGTTTGTCTGTCTGTCAGCAAGATTATGCAAAAAATAATGAAAAGCTATACTCATTTAAATTTGACAAAAGTACAGTACTGTAAACTTAGGATGAGTACCCGACAGTTGCTTGGTGTAAAATTAACACATTTTTTACTGACTCATTTCATTCATGAATCGTGATGTACAGAAAATACTTTCATGTGGAAAATAGATAAACAAACAAACCATGCGCAGTGCATTTACTGGGTAATAAAAGACCACCGACGGCAGCGGGCGTAAAGGGCGTCGTTTGTTCACCATTCCAACGTTGAGTGTACCGGGCTTGCACTATAATAATTAATATAGCCTACCTAGGCTTACTTTTTGCTACACTACAAACCCTACAGATGAATGGCAAATGTTTTCTTTATTGGATATTACTGTATATGCCGTTCGCAAATCACTATTTATAAGTTTAAAAATCTTGATCCATGAGTAACCGTTAAATCCGTGTATTGGCAACTATGTACTTTACCTTACCCTACTCTACTCTGCCCTACTACCATGCTTAGGGTAACTAGGCCTAATATCTAGAGCCTAAGCCTAGCCTAGCTAGCATGAAGGCCTAACCTAGCTAGGCTCTGTAGGCCTAGGCTAGGGCCAGGCTTTTTATTTTTACTCATGTTCTACTAATTAATTCACTCCCTATGCCTATGGCTAGTCCTGGCTAGGATAAATAAAACAAAATGATAACAATGTTAACATAACGTACATGAATAGATACAAGTTCAACCAGGGGAAGTGATACAACACCAGTAGGCCTAAGAACATACCTAAGCCTAGGCCTAATACTACCACCAACCAAAAATATCCAATTCTGCTTTAAATGGCCACTCTTGCTCCCATCCTAGGGCTTGCTTGGGAAGCCAGAGAGGCTAACCTTCTCTCTCACCTCCATCTTCCACTGAGAACTTCAATTGATTTCTCAGTCCGATAAGAAACTTACCTTTCACGACAGAAGTAGTAAAAAGCCTAGTTTCCTTCAATTTATATTTCAATATATTAATAGTCTTTTAAATCAATTATACAGTAATTCAGTTATTTACTTCGACAAAGCACAGGCCTAGGCTACCTGTGTTTCTTTAACTGTATACCGGAAGTAAGGATGAACATTCTCACAGAGAGGGGGCGTTAGTTAGTCCGAAACACAATGTTAACCAACCACAGTGGACTATACTTAATTCTTTGTATTTGATTGGCTATTTCACAACAGGCATTCCGAGCATTTTTCCTTTGCCGTGGCGTAGCAAACAGAATAGCGACTGGCAGTCTTCAAATGAGTCATTGGACTTGCTTACCGTAGTATTGAACATTTATTCTAATACATTTCAATTAAAGACGTATCGTCCTCTGAAAATTGTGAATTTTTCCCCCTTTTTATCGCATTTTTAATGTTTTCTTTACTGTGTCTTCTTGATAGTTGTTTTTAAACCCTGTAACTGTTGTGACTGAATTGGAAATTGTAATGTTTTATTCATTATTATTCAATAATTTTGCTCTTTTTATGTCTTCTATATTTTATACTGTTTATTCTTTTTTTTTTTTTAATGTTTTTTATGTGTCTGATATGTAAATTGTTCTGTTTTCTTATGTTTATTATTATTGAATTAATTTAATTGATTATCATGAATGCTGTTATTTTTTATGTTTTCCATATCTTTTATTTCTTGATAGCTTTAAATTGTTTACCGATTTTTTTTTAATGTGATTTAATTGTAAATTTCCAATTCAGCTCTTCAGGCTGTTATTGTACGAATATGGATAAATAAATGAATAGACAATAATAATTTTAAAATTAACTCGCTCATTTGCAGAAACAGATTATTCACTTGAATTATTCTTGAATTGAAGAAATGTGTATCAGTATGTTCTGTTCATATCATGTATAGATAACATATTGTGTTTATATATTTACCTACTAATCTTGTTTAAATTCTTTATTATTTATTTATTTTCTGTGTTCTTCATACTTTGTAAAATTTGCCAGTGGAAACAAATTTCTGATTTTTAGGACAATAAAATTATATTGTATATTGTAGTTTGACATAACACAGATACAATAATTAGGAGAAAATTGCAGTATGTTATAATATATTTTATTGACAATTTGCTTTCACACAAATGGAACTTTTGAAGCCTCACAATTTTAAAACATAGCATTGATGATGAGCTATACTAGATGGAGCAGCCTCGTTAAATATTGTGTGAATAATAAAAAAATAAAACAAGTGAACAAAATATGGAATAATACTGAAACCTAAAAAAACTAGGCCCTATACATATTTTACACACACGTCTATCTTACATAAATTTTATTTCATCAATTTTTTTTTTATAAACATCGTAAAATCTATTTTATACAATATGTCAAATGTATAATACACACAAAATCATTTCATCTACTTTACAAACTTTTCTACTAGTTTCCTTAATCTTAATGATGAAAGCATTTCGGGATTCATAGTAGGCCTAATTAATAAAACAAAAAGTAAAAATACAATAAATATAAACCAAGACATTTTCATTGGTAATAATAGATTTAATCATAGGCCTAATACTTGAATAAAGTATATTCCAAATATGCACAGTCAACAAAATAAAAAGATGGCAATTCAATACTTCTAATTCTGCCAAATCACAGTGACGCACTTCTGGAGAGTCTTCGTGCCCGTGGGAGGACTTTAACTACTATTGTACGGAGTGTGAATTGACAGGGCAAGACTTGTATGTGTGCAGCATCAATAATCGTGTGAAGGTAATCATCTCTTGTGTTTATGATCCATGAACTTGCCTCCTAATATTATAAAAAGCGCCACAGTGGATTTGGTAAAATTATAATAAAAATTTACCTTACAGCCATTGTTTAATTTTCAATTCTTTAAAATACTGCCCCCAACGTTGGCCTACAATAAAAATCTACAATATTTATTTCTTTAATTTTGTAATAATCAATGGTATTAAAGTAATTTTTATGATTAGCACTTTGACTTCATAAAAAGTATTTTGTGAAATATTTTCATTGAATAAAAACTTGCCTAAACCTGTAGAAGGGTTACCACATAAAAAACAGGAGTAGGCCTATTGGTCAATATTAATCATATACGGTAATAATGTCTGCACACAATGCCGTTGGATGTTTCTTCAGTTCAAAATTTTGAATTAATATACATTAACATGATGATCCCAAAATGGAGCTATAAATTTAAATAGTTAATTATGTATAATTATATTTCAACAAATATAAAACCATTTTAAATCTGAAGAGTGTACTTCAATAGTAGTACATTAGGCCGACCAGCCCTCCATAAACTAACGTTAGAATACCGCACTTTCGGCGGTAAAGAACAATTAAAACCTCATAAAAAAGGCAACTAATCCGTTTACCTATAATTGAATCCAAGGACACCAGTGTCAAACACTCAGTACTTATCCTTGATAATGTGTTAATCCAATTAATATAGTGAGATAACGTAAAGCTAGTTCATCGAGGGCGGGTTGAGCTAATGAATTATAGTAGCTTTGATATATAATTTTTAATCCACAACCAAGAAAGTTAACACTCAGTTAAGTAAAGTGTTTTATGTACCACAAATCTGAATCTCTACTTCATAGGTAGATTTAAGGGAGGGCCCAACCAGCCTTTCACCCCACCTCCCCCACCCCATGGACACCCTAAATTTTTTGAAAATTATATAAAATAAAGAAAAAATGAAGAATATTATATTCAAATTAAAGACTTAGAGTGCCATTTCCGGCCATCTAGAAGTGCCATAATCATAAAATTTCACACAGCAGCTTAACTATGGGGTAAACTACAGGTGATGTGGTCTAGACTGTCGATCTCTCAAAATACCTCCCTGGGCCCCCTGTATTTTGAATTCCTTGATCCGCCACTGTACTTTGATCAAGTATTGTTGCAGCCATGCTAGTCTAGTATTACCAATGATACTATAAGACTAACATTATGATGTCATTTTATGTTAAATCTCTAAGTGTAGCCCCTTCATATCATTAATAGTTTGTTTGAAAGATCTTTGTTTCTCAGCATGCGCATCCAAATATTAGTTATAACAAATAGAAAAAATATGATGTGCTATTAGCATTCAGGCTTCTCCTTTACACACATTCACAACTCATCCCATTTACTTTTATGCCATATCTAAAATGGCTTGGGGCACATCCTCTCCTTAAACATTACAGCTAGCGACCCTCTTGCACCAATACCCAGCCCCTATATCAATGCTTTTAGATAAACCCTGAAAATATACAAAAAAAAACATGTATCTGTTCCTAATTCCCAGTACATGTATGTTCCCAAAAAGTATGCGCACTAAGGTTTTCAAAGTCATGGATTTTAACCCTTTCCAATGGTATTGAAACAGGGCATACAACCCTTTAACAAAAGAAACATGATTGTTTAAGATATAAACTACCATATTGCATAAAAACAAACAAAAAAATATACTAGCATCATGTAAAAATCATCCAATGAAGTTACCTATCATTTTATGATATCATTATCATTATTTTGGTACATTTTTATAAATAAATATTCTTTAAAAATAGAAGTTTTTTTTAGAGGTCTGATGGTCTCATACATATTCATTAGAAGCTGAACTAGATATACATCACAAAAGCATGTATCCGTCACCTTTCCTACAGATATAAAATAAACTGCATATCTGTCCTCTATTTGTTCTCCCTTTTAATCACAAAAATCGCAAAAAAAAAAAAGAAGTATCCATGAACATGAACATGCGGCACAATGCAGAAATACAAACAACATAAACACAGAGATTGTCAGTCATCGCCACAGATTCTGCTCAGAATTGACCCAAAATCCAAAAATATTTTGTAACATAAGAATAACATTTAATAAAATTTGTTCAAAGAAAAAAGTTTTCAATAAAAATAGTTAGGACTAAAATTCATAATTTTAACTATACATGAATATAGAACGAGTTTACAATCTTAATATGAATTCGGTCCTAGATATAATTCTTTTATTTATCTGTACAAATATGACACAAAAGACTAAGTACTATCAACTGTTACCTGAAAATAAATTTCAGATATATTATATGCACAAAATATAAGACAACGAACAGTGAAAAGACTTGGCTATTAATGTACAATGGTGATGCGCTATTAGTGATCGTTGGTGTCGACAATCGTGTTCTTGCAGCAAGGAGAGGTGATAGGTGAACATATGAAACCAGTGTCGGACTTTGTGTGTTAATTAATGCTGCTATCTTCTCTGCTTCAGTATTACATGCTTCAATCTATTAATAATAATAAATTTCAATAATGATGATAATAACAACAATACAATGTAGTGCATATTACACTTAAAGTAACTCCTGTTCACAATGGCATGAACAATTTTGGGTATTATTATGAGAAAATAGATTTTGATTCAAATTTTACATGAAGCATCCAAAGAAAATATCTGACAAGGAAGTAAATTTGTCAATACACAGGAAGACAATCTTTTACTCTTCTTCAATTCTTTACTTGTTGTGCATAGAGCTACTGAACATGAACAAATAACCTATTAACACCTTCCCTAAATATGGTCATGAGGACATCACAACATGACCATATATGGGCATTCAACAGTTGTTTTCACATGCAACATGCATTATGTCATAATTTGTACAAATTTTTTACCTGTAGCTCAGTAGGACTCTGGATAATTGGAGTAATAAGTAAAATCAGATCCTTTTCTATGCTCATGTAACCAAACAAATCACATTCAGCCTACAAAAAAGAAAAGAAAAATATAAAAAAGAACATTAATTAACCATAATTACAATATTAGTTGGGAAAAATATATTAATATACAAGGTACAAGATACAACCCAAGACAACAATATTGTCAAAATAAAAATTCTGAGATATTTGTGGTACTATATCTGTCTCTTATACACATCTAGATGTGTATAAGAGACAGCTACGCAAGTTTTTTTTAGTGGATGCACCTCCCTGCACACCCTCATAGATACACCACTGAATACAACCGCCCATGCAGAAAACAGCATCAGTGACAAAATACATGAAAATTGACTATTTAATATATTCATATTTCCCACAGTATAAGCTTTAAAATGATGGGTCATTTACTGCAATCGATTTACTATTGCTAAAGTTATTGTAAGTATCACAGCTTCTCTGTACTAAAGTATACAATACTGGCACATTCTTATGCTAATTACTCAATTGAACATTTAGCAAAAGTATGCTGGTTTTTGGATGGCAAGCCTCATATAGATTCATAAATATACATGATATATAGTTAAATATTCATATATAAACAAATAATTTGTAATACAATTCAATTATCTTCTTATTACTGGTGATTTGAAATAAATATTTTGCAACTTACCACTGCCACATGATCCCGCAAGAGCTCAAGTATGACATTAACAGTAATGGGTTCACCATTGAGGGCCTCTGACATATTTTCTGCTATCTTCTCACTAAACAAAACTTGAACTTCACCAGCTGGTAAGAAATAAAACCACAAAATTCAAATCCAAATATTGTAATTTAGTGATTAGTAACGTAATTATAAATGCAAGGACTTTTAACTACGGTTCTCCATCAAATTGGCCCACGCACCAAACTCCTATTATGCTGTGGAGATGCAGGCATTCCTCTGGCAAAGACAAGGATGTTTTTATATACTTTCAGCATATTCTGAACCCATTTATTCACTTATGTTGAGAGAAACAAAGGTTTAATATATCATTACTGTAGCTCCTTGGGTATAACCCCACCCCCTACTTTATGTACCAGTCTTTCCTCAGGCAAAAACCCAGTGTATGACTTTTACAAGTATTCTTGGACAAAAAAAATATGGAGTTTGAATTAGGCGCGATCTACAAATTATCCCCAACGACAGAAACGCGTCTGGGAAAATCATGTATTACAAACGCGTCTGGGAAAGCGATCGTCTAATTATCGTGCCTCATGAATATTAATAAGCTAGTCGGAAT